AGTACACTAAACTGCAAAATTAAACATTTCCTCATTTGAAATTGCTAAACTTCTTCCTCTGGACTTTCCAGTGAGGAACTACTGGGAGAAGAGTCAGAATGAATAAGCAAAGAGGTTACTGAATACTTCTTTTATAAAGGTTTGTTAAGACATGGGCAACTAGTCTAGGGAGGAAGAGCCAATGGCTTAATAGCGTGTGGTGAGACATTAGCTTCTGGATTTCCAACATTACCAAATTTGTGTGTTTCAAATGTCCTTGAAGTGTGAACCATGTACTTAACTGCAGTGTTATTCAGCCCTGCAGTTATTACATAATGTTCCCATGAAAGCATTATTTTTATTTCTTTCAACTCTGTCTACCATGGTTACATTATAAGATGGTCCAAGTTATGCCCTGTAATGAATATTGCTTAATATGTAATGTAAATTTGTAGTTCAGTGGTTCTCAACCCTGGCTGCACATTAAAGTCACCTGGGGAACCTAAAACACATACATATACACCAGAGAGTGGGCTCCACATCAGCTCAGTAAAATCAGTATCTTGGGTATGAATTGGAGCATTGGTGTTGTTTTAAAAAGCTACCCTACGGATTCTAAGACAGCCAGAATTGAGAACCACTAGTTTAATGGGATAAGCATGTACCATTTCTTGCAATGTGCATTTGTTGGATAATTTTTTTTCTCTTCATATTATAGTAATCTGAAAATAGATACGGTTTTGCAAGCAAATTGGATTTAGCAAGATTTCTTGTAAAGGAGTTTCTTATCTTAGCCGAAACCTTTCTTTTCTTTTCTTTTTTTTGAGATGAAGTTTTGCTCTGTCACTGAGGCTGGAATGCAGTGACGCTATCTCGGCTCACTGCAACCTCCACCTCCCCAGTTCAAGCAATTCTCCTGCCTCAGCCTCCCGAGTAGCTGGGATTACAGGCGTGCACCACCATGCCCGGCTAAGTTTTTGTATTTTTAGTAGAGACAGGGTTTCACTATGATGGCCAAGCTAGTCTGGAACTCCTGACCTCGTGATCCACCCGCCTCGGCCTCCCAAAGTGCTGGGATTACAGGTGTGAGCCATTGTGCCCAGCCAGCCGAAATCTTTTAAATGTACTTTTGCAGCAGTCTCTCCTAGCATACTTATAATCTTGAAAGAAAAAAATACTTCTCAAAATATTGACACATTGCATTCCAGAAGTTTTGAGTCATGTACAGGATGAAAAACTCACTGAAATTATCTTTAGATGTCTACAATATCTACCTTTCAAAGGGCTTTTCAGTAATTACCCATTTTGTCATTGTAAGCTTCATACAGGACACTCAGCCCATTGTTCTGTTTACCTTTTTCTAGGTTTGAGATCAGTTTATGCCACCTTTTCACTGCAAATTGGTCAGGTATCATTATTTCATTGGAAAGTATTGTAAGCCTGGAATACCTTATACAATGCAGATGAGATAGAAATGAGAACTCTCTAAATTGTGAAGTGCTGCTTAGCTATAAGCTTATTATTATTATTATTATGAGACAGGGTCTTGCTGTGTTGCCCAGGTTGGTCTTCAACTCCTGAGCTCAAGCCATCCTCCTACCTCAGCCTCCCAAATTGCTGGGATTACAGGCAAGAGCCATAAAGCTTGGCTTAGAAAACTGATTAAATCCTAGTCTCCAAGAGGCCAAATTATTATCCTTATTATCCTTCAATGTGAAGTGAGTCTGACGGCTCCATATACATGTCTATCTATTAACAAACATATATACCTATGTTTAGAAAACACTTTGCCCTGTCCCTTTGCCCTGCCCCTGGGAGATCTGAAAGCTTTTTCTTGTGAGGGGTGGGGAAGAGAGATCTCAGGATGATGTCTAAGTTCTCAGTGAAACCTGCTATTCTCTTTGAATGTTTCCCCTCCAGCTCCAGTGCAGGTGTCTAGCTCAACAATTACCCTTATTTTTTACCTTGTCTTTTCCTTTTTTATTAGGAATACAAATGGAAATTTGTTGAGTTTTAGATATTTTGCATATGTTTTATCTGAATATTAGAATTTGTCATAATGAATGTAATTAACACATAAACTTTCTGTATGGGAAAAAATGAGTCAAATTTACGCAATTTATCTTTTTGTTTTTTTGAGACAGAGTCTTGCTCTGAAATGCAATGGCTCAATCTCTGCTCACTGCAACCTCCACCTCCTGGGCTCAAGCAATTCTCCTGTCTTAGCCTCCTGAGTAGCTGGGATTACGGGTCCATGCCATCATGCCCAGCTACTTTTCTGTATTTTTTAGTAGAGATTGGATTTCATCATGTTGGTCAGGCTGGACTTGACCTTAGGTGATCTGGCCTTAGGTGATCTGCCTGTCTCAGCCTTCCAAAGTGCTGGGATTACAGGCATGAGCCATTGTACCATAATTTTGGATAACTTTTGAGGAAATTAGGAAAATACACACTTCTGTTCAATTAGTAATGATTACAATGCTGTATCTACCAATGTTCAAATCCTTTAACTGTAGAATTAGGAAAAATATCCTAAAATTTCAGAAGGAAGATGGTCAGTTACCTTGCAAGTTAAATGTTTTGTGTAAAGAGTCTATATGTCCTTCAGCAAAATATGGCTTTCATACAGATAAGCACACAAATTACAAGTTCCCAGCTCCGTTAATTTTCAAAAGTGAAACACACTAATGCAACTAGGACTCAGAACAGGAAGGAAAACATTAATGAAACCTCTGAAGTCCTTCATGCTCTTTTCTAGCAGTCACTTATCTAACACTGTAGATTAGTTGTACATATTACTGAAAACTTGTATGTGAATTGAAACATACAATTTGTACCTTTTTTTTGGTGGTGAGGGACGTTCTTTTGCTCAGTTTTTTTTTTCTTTCTTTCTTTTCTTTCTTTCTTTCTTTTTTTTTTTTTTTGAGGCAGAGTCTTACTCTGTCACCCAGGTTGTAGTGCATTGGTGCCATCTCGGCTTACTGCAGCCTTTGCCTCCAAGGTTCAAGCAGTTCCCTGCCTCAGCCTCCTGAGTAGCTGGGATTACAGGCGCCACCACACCTGGCCAATGTTTGTAGTTTTAGTAGAGATGGGGTTTCAACATCTAGGCCAGGCTTGTCTTGAACTTCTGAACTGATGATCCACCTGCCTTGATCTCCTAAAGTGTTGAGATCACAGGCATGTGCCACCATGCCCAGCTTTTTGCTCAGTTTCATATGTGTTATTGCAGAATGTTAATTTATTGTTTTGTACTATTCCATTGTTTGGATATAACACAATTTATTCATTGTTTACTTAATGGATAGTTTGGGTTTCTGGGTTGGGCAATATTGTACTGTAGTACTATAGACATTCTTATGTGTCCTTTGCTAAATATATGTGTATATTTCTCTTGAGGATGTATGTACAAGTGCAATTGCTGAGTCATGGGTTCAGCTTTATTAGATACTGCCAGTTTTCTAAATTATACTCCCATTAACAATGCATGAGCATTTCAGTTGCTTTCCATTTTTTGGCATCACATAATACTAAAACTTAGTAAGTCAAGGATGCATGTTATGACTTTTAGTATAACTAATAAAAGAATAGCAAAAACATATAACTGACAAGTTAATAGGTAATAGAATGAAATAATAAACTTAGTCCAGAACAAGAGTAAAACAGGTGATACTATGATAAATATCAACCTAATATGTTAGTAATTACATTAAATGTAAATGGACTACATACCCCAATTAAAAGATTAAGAATGTCAGATTGGGGAAAAAAATCTCAAGTAGATACTGCTTATAAAACATATCTTCAATATAAGGACACAAGCAGATTAATAATAACAAGCTGTATCATGCAAGCACTAACCAAGCTCATGTATTGTATTAACATCAGACAAAGACGTAAAGTAAAAATAATTAGAAATAAAGGATATTGTTTAATGAATAAAGGGTTGCTAGTCCAGCTTCTAGTTTAAAACCTTATGTGTAATTTTTCAGACCCAACCATATACAGTTACAAAGGCTTTATCTGACAGGCCTAACTGGAGAAAGCTGCCCTCCCTCAATCCAACTTGGTGTATGGCCAGTGCACTGTAGTCCTGGCAATGAGTAGTTGTTGTGACTCAGGTCCGGCTGGCCAGCCACACCCTTATGGATAGCTGCATTCCTAGCCCACGTTCTTCATTTGGAGGCCTTCAGCAGAGACTTTTCTCAGGTGCCTCTAAACCACTAAAACCACCTCAGCACGGGTAAGAGGGGAGCTTTGAAGACTGCTTTTTCTCCAGCAAAATACTTTCCCACTCCTAGCTCTTCTCCTTCTACCTACCCTTGGCCACTGGATCCATGATACTGCAGGAACGTTTTTGGGAAGCTCCCTTGATAGTGAAGATAGCACCATATTTTGCTGATTGACCTGACCCTTGGCCAACAGCACCATTTCATGAGGAGAAAATAGAGCAGGGACATTAGCACTTTCTCTTGCTTAGCCTCTTCCTTTATAGCATCACAGTAAGTGATTAAAAGCTTGACTGTTAAAAAGTTAATATTAACTTTTAAACCTTACTGTTTTAATTGACTACTCAGACATCTGGCAGCTCAGCTTAGAGCCTAACAGTGGTTAATCCTCCTGGAGGCTATAACAATTCCAAATTCATATGCCCTTAGTGATGTAGCCTCAAAATGCATAAAGCAAAAACTGATACTTGAAATTTATTGTATAACGTTCACAAAGAAAAGAGTATATCTCCGTGCGCTCCGTGTGTTATTACAGACTATATCAGTATACCTAAGACATTTAACATTACCAACACCTAAGAAGGCTCACTTGAGATACTCCTCAATCACTGTGGCTTTCCCCTTCCTTAAAGGTCACTACTGTTTGTGCCTCTCATGAAAGAAATTAGTTTTGCCTGTTTTTAAATTTTATATAATAGAATTATTAGTATATATTTGACTTCCTTCACTAATATATTGGTTAAATATGTTTCTAACCATCTTTTGCTGAGTATTAACCTACTGTTACCATTTCAGATGTTTTAGAAAATGATTATGAGAGCTTACGTGTATTAAACATTGAAAGAAATGGAAATATCATATATACCTATAAGGTATGTCTGTATTTTTTATTGTGATAAAATGTAAATTTACTGTTTTTAATCATTTATTTTCTCTTTTTACAGAATTCTGTACTGTATCTTATTGAGGGGTAATGAATAAACTTGTTGGCAATTAATCTTAACATATAACTTTGTGTGAGATTGAATAAAGTGGTTGAAATTTGGTAGTATTAGGCTGGGCATGATAGCGCACAACTGTAATCCTAACGATTTGGAAGACTGAAGCCAGCAGATCATTTGAGTTCACGAGTTCGAGACTGACCTTGCCAAAACCCCATTTCTACCAAAAAAAAGACAAAAATGAGCTCGGAATGGTGATTCCCGCTGCTTGGGAGACTGAGACACAAGAATCACTTGAACCCAGGAGGTGGAGGTTGCAGTGAGCCAAGATTGTACCACTGCACTGCATGCAGCCTGGGTGACAGAGCGAGATCCTGTTAAAAAAAAAAAGAGAGAGAGAGATTTAGTATTATTAAATATTGCTTCATTTTTAAATAAAACTAAATGAGCACATCTGACATACTTAGTTTTTGAATCAATGAACAATTTCATTTTCTAGACAAAATATACTAAGTACAAGATGTTTAAACCTAATTAATATATTAAAATTTTATGCTTGGAGAAAATATAAAATATGATTACTCTCTTCAGATGTAGATATGTTCGGACTTTTGAAACATTATTATTATTTTGTTTTTAGAAACAGGGTCTTGCTTCGTCACCCAGGCTGGGGTGTAGTGGCACAGTCATAGCTCACTGCAGTCTCAAACTCCTGGGCTCAAGTGGGTTCCTTGAGTTCCTGCCTCAATCTCCCCAGTTGCTAGGACTACAGGCACATGTAGCATTGTTATTTAGCAGTGTGTTTTCAATGTCAGTGTTCTAATAAAAATTTAACTTTAGTAAGTACACATAAATAATCCAAACAGCTAGTTTGCTTTGCACAGTTATATCACTGTACTTCTTTATAGTAAAAATAATTAAGTTGTGTCTTAGAATGCTGCCTTTAAGGAATTGTGTGAGTCACTGTGTTTTACTTATAAAAGCATTATGAACTTGTCCTAGGCATCCCTATTATCTATCATGTGTATATTTTCAGAGACATAAATGGAAGTATATAAAGATTTATTCCTTCACCATGCTTAGTCCTACTAAACAGTTCCCCAAACTCACTGAACTCCATGCTGTTTTAATCTGTTTCATTCTTTGAGCCCAAATGACTACCTGAATCGGATTCAATCTCCCTCTGACAGGCACAGAAAGCATCTTTTAGACTGCTTACTGCTAAGATTGAGTTATCGCAGGTTGGTTTGAAAACCAATAACATTCTAACTTCCTAAACAATGACATTTAATAAACATCTGGTTAATTTTTTTTAGGATGATAAGGGAAATGTCGTCTTTGGATTATACGATGGCCAAACCAGACAAAACAAGGTAAAAATCACCATAAATCATAGATTACTCATTGGTTACTTTATTGCCTTTAGAGTTTTCTTATTTGTTGCCTCCTTTTTCTAGATAAAAATTTATTTTCTTCTTTTTCTAAACATTTTATTTGAAAAAACAGAATTGCAATTTGAGGCATATACACAGACCAGGGTAGTCTTTGGTATGTCCAAAGAACAAAGAAAGGTTGGGGTTTTTATCAGAAAGAGAAATGTTACATATGGCTTTGAAAGAACTCTCATTGGCAATAGGAAGGTTTCCAGGAGCTGGCAAGATCTAATTGGTGTGTGATAGCAGTAGGTAAAACTAGTTTTAGAGCCATGGCAGTTTGTTACGGCAGCTACTAGGTAAAGCTATTCTTTAAGTTTATGGCATTTGGTTGTTTTGGCAGCTGGCTTGCAGGATAATACCTGGGCAGGCACTTCTGCCCCATGTGCTTCTCTTTTCTTCTCCTAATCTCTTGATTTAACTGAATTGATTATGACAATAACTCCAATTCATGTAATCAGTTTTCACAGTATATGCAACAGTTTGTTTATTTGTTGATGGGCACTTATTTGTAATAATTGTCTATTATGAACACTGTTGTATACATAGTGATTTGTTTTTTAATTCTTTTGTGTGCATATCTAGGAGTGGGAATACCAACTTTATTTTCTAAAAATTTATATTTCTTTGCTTTCCTTTTATTCTCCCTTAAATATCTCTTGGTCTTATTGTCTTAAACAAAAAATGCGCAGACTATTGGCCCAAAAAGTGAGGTGAAGTCTCTTAGACCTTTTAGATTTAAGTAAAGTAGGATTAAACAAATTATCCGGTATCCTGTAAGAAAGGAGGAGGTCCATTGCCCTCCTTGAGATTTGTGTACTCCCAGGTCATCTTAAAATGACCTCTGGCTCTTTCTGCTTCTGCTTAACTTTCATGTGTCTTGTTTCTCATTATTTCTTAATGATCTAGACATGGAACTCAGCTCTCTTTCTTTGTTTTCCCCCAAATTACTCACATAAGAGATTGGTTGATGTGACAAGTTTTGTCTAATTCTGAGAGCAAATGGGAGGGACTCATTTTGTGCCTATGTAAAAATAATTTAGAATTGAATATTCGACATCATTTAACTTAAATGTCCTTTATCCATTGCAAATTTCTCACAGGTCACCTTAGTCTTCAGGGTTCCAGTATGCTGCTTGGTTAATTCTCTTTTCCCTTCGTGTACCCCTTTCACCTTTTTTCCTTCATTCACTCACTCACTCACTCACTCACTCATTCATTGATCGAACAAATAAGCATTGAGTGTTTTCCCTGTCAGTTGCTAGGGACACAGTGATGATCAACATAAACTCACAATATGCTGTCTAGGGAAAGAGAATAAAATCTCCAGTTTTCAGTGCAATCCTTAGCTTACTTTCTGTGTGGCATATATTCTGAAAAGATGGGTTGAGAGGAGACATCAGTCTGTTTTCTGCCAATCCATTTGTGGTGACTGTGGCTATCTTTTGTGGTTACATTCCTCTTTCCCAAGACCGTGAGCACTTGACAGTAAGGAGCATTTTGCATCCAAATGTGTTTTATCTCCATACCCTTTAGCTTACCAAGCCTGTGAGTGATAGGAGTGCAGTGAAGTTTTTCAATGGATTGATAGTGATAGGTTCCCTCCAGAGTGGCTGTTTTTCAAAAATTTTCCAGTGACAAAGCTGCTCTGAATTCCAAAATGTGAAAATTAGTTCAGAAAAAAATTGGCAAAAGGGATGAATTAATCAGAAATTTAAACTAGCTTTGTAAACAGGCAAATTTTGCTTCTGAACCATAGTCACTAAACAAACCTCCCCTATCCCATCTCTTTTCCACATAAGCACAACCTTTACAGCCCATACTTTTTGTCGTTGTTGTTGTTTTTTTTAACTGACCTCTTGATGTTTTACTGAAGGAATGGATTTGTATGCCAAATCCAGATAGGCTTTAAACATTCTTTTTAAGTACTGTATTTTTCCTTGGAAGGGTGCCACCAGAGAAAGATGGTGCCATCAAGAGAAAAAAATCTTTCTTGGTAACTGAGCTTTAGGGTGGTATAATGGTGTCTGAATCTTTTTTTTTTTTTTTTTTTTTTTGAGACGGAGTTTCACTCTTGTTACCCAGGCTGGAGTGCAATGGCGCGATCTCGGCTCACCGCAACCTCTGCCTCCTGGGTTCAGGCAATTCTCCTGCCTCAGCCTCCTGAGTAGCTGGGATTACAGGCACGTGCCACCACGCCCAGCTAATTTTTTGTATTTTTAGTAGAGACGGGGTTTCACCATGTTGACCAGGATGGTCTCGATCTCTTGACCTCGTGATCCACCCGCCTCGGCCTCCCAAAGTGCTGGGATTACAGGCTTGAGCCACCGCGCCCGGTCTGTGTCTGAATCTTAATGCGTACCCATCCTTCTCTCAATGTTTTTATTTATTTATTTATTTTTTTGAGACAGAGTCTCGGTCTGTCACCAGGTGCCAGGCTGGAGTGCAGTGCCACGATCTTGGTTCACTGCAACCTCTGCCTTCTGGGTTCAAGCAGTTCTCCTGCCTCAGCCTCCCAAGTAGCTGGGACTACAGGTGCGTGCCACCATGCCCGGACAATTTTTGTATGTTTTAGTAGAGACCGGCTTTCTCCATGTTGGTCAGGATGGTCTCAATCTCTTGATCTCGTGATCTGCCCACCTCGGCCTCCCAAAGTGCTGGGATTACAGGCATGAGCCACCGTGCCTGGCCAAGTTTTTATATTTTTAATTTGAAAAACGAGTAGAGCAATGTCCCGTGTACTCTTCACTCAGTTTCTCTCAATTGTTACGTCTTGTGTAACTATAGGATAATGTATTAAAACTAATAAATTAATGTTGGTAGAATGTGTGCATATAGTCTATGCTATTTCATCACTTGTGTAGATTCCTGTAATCACCACTGCAGTAAAGAAAAAAATTATTCCATCACCACAAGATCTATTGTGTTGAAATTTTACTAGTTCAAACGAAGTGTGGAACTCTTACCTCCTTTTAAGTCTCTTTACCTTTCTGATTGTCTTTGATATTTCCTATACGTTCTCAGGCAGTGTTATACTTTTGGCCCCGATTGTTGAACATAATTGAGAAAACACAAAAGGAGAAGGAAAGTCTATTGTGTTTACCTGTATATTTGCTCTTTCTGTTGTTCTTTCTGGCTTTCTGATCTTCTAAGATTCTTCTTTTATCATCTCCTTTCTCTTTCAGTAACTTTTTTTAGGCATTATTTTAGGGTAGGTATGCTGATGACAAATTCTCATAGTTTCTTCATCTGAGAATGTCTTTTTCCTTTCATTCCTGAAGGATAATTTTGCCAAGTATAGAATTCAGGACTCATAGTTCTTTTTGTTCCTCTCTTGAAAAACGTGCCGTTTCTTCTGGGCTCTCTGGTTTCTCGTGAGAAATCTGCTGTCTTCTGAATTGTTCGTTCCCCATATAGATAAGATGTCACTGTTTTTCTTTGCTGTTTTTTGAAAAATAATTTTTCTTTCTCCTTAGTTTTCTGAAGTTTGATTATACTGTGTCTTGGTGTGGATTTGTTTGAATTTTCCTTGTTTGGGGTTTACTCAGCTTACTGAATCTGTAGTGTCTTGCCAAATTTGTAACATTTTCAGTCATTAGCTAGTATTTCTTCTGATTCTTTACTTAAAATTCCTCTCTGTTTCTCTTCTCTTTTTATGAACTCTGCTTACGCAAATGTTAGATCTTTTGTTAAAATCTCACAGATCTCTGAGGTTCTGTTTCCTTTTTTTTTTTTTTTTGAAATGGAGTCTCACACTGTCACCTGGCCTGTAGGGCAGTGGTGCAGTCTTGGCTCACTGCAATCTCCGCCTCCTGGGTTCAAGTAATTCTCCTGCCTTAGCCCCCCAAGTAGCTAGGACTACAGGCGTGTGCCACCACTCCCAGCTAATTTTTTTGTATTTTTAGTAGAGACAGGATTTCACCATGTTGATCAGGATGGCTTCAGTCTCCTGACCTTGTGATCTGCCCGCCTCAGCCTCCCACAGTGCTGGAATTACAGGTGTGAGCCACAGTGTCTGGCCCTGTTTTCTTTATTTTTCAGATTTCTGTCTATTGTTTTAAATTAGGCAACTTGTATTGTTTTCAAGTTCACTGATTCTTCTGTCCTTTCCACCATGTTGCTGAGCCTACCCATAGAGGTTTTGTTAAAAAAAAAATTGGTGATTTTTCAGTTGTGACATTTCCATCAGTATTTTTCTTTATATATTTAATTTCTTGCTGAGATTTTCATTTGTTTCAAGGATGCTTGTAATTACTTATTGAAACTTTTTTTTTTTTTTTTTTAAGATGGAGTTTCGCTCTTGTTGTCCAGGTTGGAATATGATGGTGCAATCTTGGCTTACTGCAACCTTCACCTCCCAGGTTCAAGCGATTCTCCTGCCTCAGCTTCCCAAGTAGCTGGGACTACGGGTGCACACCACCATGCCTAGCTAATTTTTGTATTTTTAGTAGAGACGGAGTTTCACCATATTGACCAGGATGGTCTTGATCTCTTGACTTCGTGATCCACCTGCCTAAGCCTCCCAAAGTGCTAGGATTACAAGCATGAGCCACCGCGCCTGGCCTGTTGAAGCATTTTTATGGTGATGGTTTTAAAATCTTTGTCAGAAAATTCCAGTATCTGCATTATCTCAGTGCTTGTGCCTATTATTGTCTTGTTCAGCTTAAGATCTTCCTGGCTCTTGGTATGATGTGAGATTTTCTATTGTATGTTAGACATTTCGAGTACTACATTAGGAAACTCTGGATCTTATTTAAGTCTTCTCTTTAGCAGGCCTCCTCTGATAATATACCCATTGGGGAATTAGCAGGGTGGGGGGTACAACCTCACTATTGCTAAGTTGTGGTGGGGGGAAGATCCAGGATCCCTACTTGGCCTACTTGGACACCCCAGTGGGGAGAAGTACCTTGTTACGGGTAGACAGAGGTAGGATTTCACTCTCCTAACTTGGCCTCTACTGTGATACCACAGCAGAGGAACAGGATGAGGGAAAGGTAGATGAAGGTCTCATCATAGGGTGGTAGTGAAAGTTCTGGCTTCCCATTCAGCCACCTCAGACACCAACCCAGTGAGAAGGTGGAAAGGGACCTCTTTACTGCTGGGTCTGGGTGGGAGTTGGGGATCCATATGGCTTTGCTGGCATTCTTGGTGGGGAAAGCTCATTACCACTGGGAATGGATGAAAGTCTTGATTTCCTACTTGGTCTTCTTTGATACTCTTCTCACAGAAGGGGAAAGGGTGCCTCATTATAGCTGGGCAAAGGTGGGAGTCTAAACTCCCCATACAGCCTTTGCTGATAGAGGAGGGAGTGGGGTTGCATTTTCTTTTGTGGTGTTTGGCTGGAGTTAGGGTAGTTATAGTAAAAAAAAAAAAGTTTCTCTCTTGCTGTGTTTCCCCTTTCCAGTTCCTTTGGCTAGAGAGAATGGGTGTGTGTTTGTTTTTGTCTGCTCCCATCAGTATTTCTATTGTTTTCTCCTCTTTAGCTCTGAATGTAGGCTATGTGACCCAAAAGGAAAACCCAGGGAACTCACTACTATGTCATTCATCAGGACCTGAGGTCCCTAAAAAATGCCCTGCCTTCTACCTACATTTCAGTTATCTTTAGTTTTTTGAAAAATACATGTCCAGGGTTTTAAAACTGTACTTGGTGGGAGCAGTAGGGACAAGTGGGTTGACTCCACTTTGCTCCCTTCCACTCAGGTTTTAAGCGAATGGTCTTACCCTGCAATATCCAAATGGGAAGCAGTATATTACTTATGCGCAATTAGGTACACTCCCAATGTTTCCTTCCTCAACCTCTTCCACCTCTTTCTCCCACCTCCTGTCATGTAGGCCTTCCCTGGTAATGCATACAATAGTGGACATGAACTAAACTGGTTGCATACAAGTGAATACTTGGCTGGGAATTTGGGACATGGACTCTTCTCTTTTCCACTGGGCTTGGTAATAAGTGAATTCAATTGGGGACTAGAAGTTGGAGCTCTATTGTGTGGAGGCTAACAAATGTATTGAACCTGGAAAGCTAGGAGAATGGATATTTCCAGCTCTGGGTCAAGCCAATACTGAAGTAACACCCTGTTCTGTTCAACTTTGTGAGCCACTAATTGTCTTTTTGCCTAAGCTAGTTTGGGGAAGATTTTTTGATGCTTGGAGTTAAAGACTTCTGATACTTGCATAACCTATTGACCTAGAAATTCCACTTTGAGGTTTTGATTCTACAGAAATATCTGTATAAATTCACATAGGTGTATGTAAAAGGAAGTTCATTGGGTTATTATACTACCTAAAATGTAGGAGGCAAACTAAATGCCCATCAGTAAGTTTTTGGAAGTTGATACAGCTTTTAAAGGATTAAGAAGTCTATAAACATACTAGTACAGAAGACTCTTCAAAACATATTGTTACATGAAAAAAGCAAGTTGTCAGAATAATACATGGCAGTTATGTTTTGAAAAAGCTTGCACTGTCACTCTAAGTACATAACTACAGAAAATTTGTAAACATGCTTCCTTTTGGAAGGAAGTTGGGATTGGCTTAGTGTAATGGACTGTTTATATCTTTTGACCTTTTTAAATGTTTGAGATGGGGTCTTGCTCTGTCACTTGGGCTGGAGTGCAGTGGCACAATTACAGTTCACAGCAGTCTTGACCTCCTGGGCTCAAGTAATCCTGCCATCTCAGCCTCCCAAGTAGCTAGGACTATAGGCATGCCACCACGCCTGCCTAATTTTTAAAAAAAAACTTTTGGAGAGACAGGATTTTGTCATGTTGTCCAGGCTGGCTTTGACTTTTTGTCTGATAGTGTTTGCTTTTTTATTTATTTATTTATTTATTTATTTGAGACAGAGTCTCACTCTGTTGTCAGGCTGGAGTGCAGTGGCATGATCTCGGCTCACTGCAACCTTGGCTTCTGGGGTTCAAGTGATTCTTCTGCCTCAGCCTCCCGAGTAGCTGGGACTACAGATGTGTGCCACCACGCCTAGCTGATTTTTATAGTTTTGGTGAAAATGGAATTTCATCATGTTGACCAGGATAGTCTCAATTTCTTGACCTTGTGATCCACTCACCTTGGCCTCCCAAAGCACTGGGATTATACACGTGAGCCACCGCACCTGGCCATAGTGTTTGCATTTTTAAACACTGAGACTATACTTACATTATTTTATAATTAAAACATAATACATTAAAAATTAAGTGTATGTTCCCATTCTTCTTAGTTATAATTTAGAATTAGATTCTTCTTAATAATAATTTAGAATTCCTCAGTTAGAGCAACAGTCAAGGGAAATGAAAAATTCTCACATGAATTCAGTACCTTATTAACTGAAAATTCACTTTCTGTAATCAGTCGTTCCCTAACTTCCCCAGCTTTTCCCATTGACTTCTAGCTCTAGGGATCTGGTGTGTTCTTGATACTTTTTTAGTGTGCAGATACCAGTAACCTTCTTAATACTTAAACCATTTGCTGTTTGACTTAGTCTGTTCTCTTCTGAGGTCTAAGACAGTCTGTTTTGCTTATCCCCTGGGTGTTCTTTAAGAGAGACTGTGTAATAGAACTGGTGTCCTCTAGTTCCTCAATCTCCACATCACATGCTACTGCATGGGCATTTTCATTTTCTTTAATATTCAAGGAAATGGAATCTTGCAACATTTTGAACATTTTAAACAGCAACAAGAAAAAAAAATTAAAGAAGACTACCTTCCCAGTCCTCTAAATATGAAAGCCCTATGAGAGATGTACTTGTGACAGTGGCTAAGATAACTAATGATTATTTTGTAATTAATTACCTCAGTAATTACAATAGCTAACATTCGAGTGCTTATTGCACTAAATGCTTCATATAGATTATCTCGCTTTATCCTCCTAACAATCCCATGAGTAGATGTTATGATTGCTATTTTACTGATAGGGGGAAAGAGAAGCTGAATAATTTATCCAAGATCACACAGCTAGTACGTGACAGAGTCAGGATTTGAACCTGGGTCTAATAGGACTCCAACATCTATGCTCTTAGCCACTATACTTGATTGTCTCATAGCTAAATATCAGTGCCAAACATGGCTTATGATAGCAAAGTTTTTTTTTTTGGTTAAGAGTGGTCTGGTTTTGGTAAAGAGTAGTCTGTCAGCATTGCTAAACTAGTTTGATTCTTTACTAAAATATTTTGCTCCAGTAGTACTGAGCACAGAGCTTAATGGGAATTTACGTTAATACAATTTTTATTTAATATGTGAAACTCTAAATTAAAAAATACTTCTGTTTTAATAGCTTCTGTATGCCTTTGAGAAAGACTTGGAAGTTTTCAGTTGCTCTGTTAACAGTGAAAGAACTTTGCTTGGTAAGTTGAACTCTTATTGCCGCATGTCAAGAACTGAACTACATCTTTTAAGAGTTTCAAAGTATTAGGTTTTTGCAGTATTAAATTACTGTATAACAACGATTTTCTAAGAAAAAATGTTCTTGGAATTTAAGTTTGAAATAAAGACTATGGAGAGCATACCTACAAAAAAGAATGCTTTGCGTTCTGCCCTAATCTTCTGTTGATACATCCTTTGGGCCCCCATCTATTTCAGGTATAAAATGGTAAACTTTAACAAGCCACCACATGGATCAATTGCTAATGGATTTTTTTTTTCTTTTTCCATTAGCTGCAAGTTTAATTCAGTCTACTAAAGAAGGAAAAAGGAATGAACTTCAACCAGGTAATGAAATTATACTTTTTGGTGTCTATGGGTAGATGAAGGTTATTGGTAGATGATGTTTTTGTATCACTAAATAAAATTTCAAGCATCTTTAGAAATAGCCTTGTTGTATCTCAGAATAAAAGGCAAAGGTCATGCCGAGTATGAACAAGACTTTATAAAAAGTATTTTTTTTCAAGCAAACAGAAAAGTACAGACAATGATCTAACAGTGACTAGCAGAAGTGTTAAGATGGTAGTTAATACCTGTAGGCTAAATGAATGCTGAAGTAGAAACCTATAGTCAGATGTTGGTGTAAAAGATTGGGAAAGTCAAGAATGTATCTTTTCTTATATCTGGTTAAGTATTGATTAATTAATACACATTGTAAGTGGTACACTAATACTAAAGATCAATTCTGCTCATTTACCAAGGCTTTGACTTTATAGTTTTACAGCTATGGGATGCTCCCTTGCCCCTCCTCACCACTTTAAAAAGTGTTGTAAGTCATCCCTCTGTCTATAACTCTGCGATATTGAGTGCCTGCTATGGGTCAGGCACTATGCATGGTGCTGGGGATACAATGGTGTGTAAGAGAGGTATAGCGTCTATCCTCTTGGAGCTTTCAGTCTAGTCCTGGGTTTCAATTGCAAATGCATACACTGGCCAGAGAGACCATGTAATTAAGTGAAGCAGATTGAGTGTAAGAAAAAAATCTAGTGACCGACAGAATGTCTTTGTTTTTTTCCATTTTTAACATAGAAACCAATAAATATCTTTTTTTCTTTAGTGAAAAGAAAAAAAATTCAAGAGCTATAGGGACTAATAGTGGGGTGGGGGTGCCCCATGGGAGACTTTCAAGAGAAGAAGGTACTACTGAGCCCTAGCTTTTTGTCGTCACTAGCAAGTTCAGTGGAACTGGCATTTCAGTTTATAAAGGAAAGTCTAGAGTTTTTTGTAAAGATCAAATTTCTAAATGTTGGCTTGACTATATTAAAATCCTACTTGGGACAATAATAACCACCTGTGGGCTGGAGCCAGCCTGTGACTACCATTTTTCAACTTCTGGCCTAGTGAGTCTCCTATTAGTCTCTTACTATTCTGCTTCCGGGTGCTTTCCATCTGTTCTATTTATCTGACGCTTAAATTCCTTCTTTCGTTAGCATAGTTCCCACTCATGTATTTTCCTGCAGTTGCATGTGATGGAAAAACCCTTTGTACTTACTTTCCACGTGAGGCTTGTGAGGCACTCCCAGACTTCTCATGATACACATTTCTCCAGAGCCGAGTCCAGATGGGATGTTCTAGGGAGCCTCAGTAAAATTGTTTATGGGTAATTTGGTGGGCAGGAGGCTCATCTGAAATCTCATCATTTGTAATGCTCATTCCTACCTTACCCTGCCATGATATACTGAGAACAACAACCCCTTTGTTCTTGAGCCATGTCCTCCTTTTCCCAGTACCATCATCACTCTTTGCTCTTTTTAGAATTAGATGCAAGGCTTGCTTCAGAGGAGATGGAACTGCAATAGCTTGAGTGAAATATGATCTGGGACATAGGTGTCCTGACCCTTAAAACAAGGGAATGGGCAAAACCCCAGGATATGGCCCCAACCTTTGAGCTAATAGAACCGTTTCTCTAAGAGGAACGGCCTAGCTGCTGTGTTCCGGGAAATGGTGAGGGTGGGCATTTGTATAGAACCTCGGGTTGGCTCCTGTGCCTCCCAGTTCTTCTTGTACCTTATTTTTTTAGTCTTAAAAATTCTTTATTATGTTGGGAAACTGAGTAATAACTATATTTTTTACATCTATTTATTCACTATCTATGCTTGACTGTCACACAGAAGTAGTCATACGTAGATCCTAAAATTTACTTTCAGGCCAACTTTAAACTTTATTTGATTACAACATTAAAGTCTATTCAGGGATGCTTGCGCAGTCTTGTTAGTTTGATGCACTTGTAGTGAGATTATCTACTTGCATCTTTAAAAACATTGGGATGAACATTATTGGTTACTGTATTGGATACCTCTTACCAGCTCACCTTTGAAGCCAGTCACTGTGGCGAGAACCAGCTCTGCCCAGCTGTAATTTGACAGTGCCTCATCTCAGCTGCCCTATCTGCTTCTTGCCTTCTGCCCAGGGCCATTGGGAAAATCTGTTTACTCCCTGCACGTGTACAGCTTGGAAGTATGATTAGGCATGATGCCCAGGAGAATAACCTGTGACCAATGGCGGCAAAGAGCTGAAAGATAAACGGTCTTCCTTTCCGTCTTTAAAGTGGGTAATGGTGAGGTGTACTCTAAGCAGCTTAAAATCCAGGGTGGTCACTAATTTGATAATGACCCATTTACTGGTGTATTTTTCTTTCCTGTTTCACTCTTCTCAGTCCCTTTCACCAACCCTGGCTAGAGTGATCCTAGAGTAATGTTGTTTTCTGAGATAAATTCTTGTCTTAGTGTGAATTTCCCCGTAACTAGTGCCTGAAGCAGGGTTTGAGTGCAGTTAATTTATTTGGGGAATGATACTAGGAAAGGCCATTAGAAGAATGTTTAAACAGAGACCTGAAGGTGGGGAGGGAGCAAGCATGAGGCTGTGGGGAGAGCACATTTCTGACAGATCTGTCTGCATAGGACTGTACTTGGTAGATTTGCTGTTCAAGGAGAGTGTGGAGGTCATTGAGACAAGTGGAGTGAACAAGGGGCAGAGTGGTAGGAACTGAGGGCAAAGGAAAAGAAGTGAGATGTAGACAGATCACACAGACCCAAGGAGGCCATTGTAAAGGTGTGGCCCTCACTCCTAGTAAAATGGGAGGTGATACGGATTTTGAGCAGGGGTGTGATCTGACTTGCTCCATAAAAGGATTGCTGTAGCTGTTCTATGGAAAATGGACTACAGGAGGGCAAGGAGAGAGCTGGTTGGAGAGCTATTATCGTCTAGTGGCTTGGACTGGTGAAGGGGAGCAAGGGCTAGGTAGCTGTGTTTGGATGTTTCCAAAAGATCGACTTATTAAGATTGGCTGCTTGGCCGGGTGCGATGGCTCATGTTTGTAATCCCAGCACTTTGGGAGGCTGAGGCAGGTGAGGTTAGGAGTTCAAGACCAGCCTGGCCAACATGGTGAAATCCTGTCTGTACTAAAAATACAAAATTAGCTGCATGTGACTGCACATACCTGTAATTCTAGCCACTTGGGAGGCTTAGGCAAGAAAATTGCTTGAACCGGGGAAATGGAAATAGAGGTTGCAGTGAGCCGAGATTGCACCACTGCACTCCAGCCTGGGTGACAGAGTGAGACTCCATCGAAAAAAAAAAAAAAAAAGATTGGTTGCTGGATTTGCTGGGAATATGAGAAAAAGAGATAAGTCAAGGGTGACTCACTCTTAGGTTTTTTGGCCAGAACAGGTAGAAGGGCATGTGTGGGTGTGGGTGTGTGTATGGGAGGGGCAGGAAAGAAGAGTTTGATTTTGAACTTGATCAGTCTGACATGCCTAATAGACATCCCGGTGGAGATGTGAGGTAGGAGTCTGGAGATGAATCAGAAGTCCAGGTAATGGTCGGGGTTGGAGAGACACATTCAGGAGTCATCCGTTTAAGAAAGTTATTGCTCATCATGGGAGGGTTTCATTTTGTTTGGTAAAGATTTCAGATGATGTAACCAGAAAGCACTATAGGATTTATTGGAATGTTTTATTTGAATGAATATTTTGGAAAGGTTTATTTTGTCGGTCCATGAAATGGCCTTACAAGCCATTTGATTATAAGATGTAATGGTTTGTCTCCGGTGGTGCTTAACACTGTTGCTTAAAATGAGGTTTTTCCACTGTAGATGAGACAAATCGTACCATCATTTATGTAAACAAAACAGGGTTCTTTGATCCACATACTTTACAATGCTTTTTTTTTTTTTTTTTTTTTTTTTTTTTAAATCAATAGTGCTCCTGTTCTCGGCCGTAGAGATGGCAGAGTTAATGTTTTACTGAGAAAATGGCCTTCCATAGGAAACCAGGCTCTGGCTGCCCACTTCATCCTCCCCGTGGAGTTGCATTTGCCACAGGTCACTGCAGATTCTCACGGGGCAGCATTTGGGGTGACCACATGGGTTGGGAGCCCCATTGCCACTGAGATTCTCCAGAGCCCTCCTCTTACTATTACAGACATTCAAGTGTCACAGATGCTCTGCAAAGCTGTGATTTGGTTCAAGAGCTCAAATAACCAGAGCTCCTTCAGAATCGGGCCATATTGAACTCCCCCATCCTTGTCACCATTTCACAGCATGTGCCTGCATCACACCATATTCTTTTGCCCACCTCCATTCTCCTTATGTCATGTCTATCCCTCTGCTTGATCCTGCTGTCTCTCCTCTCTCCTTCTTGTAGTATCCAGATCCTGTCTTACCCTTCAGTGATGGACTCCCAGTCTTCATTGATAACACTGATGATCTTTTTGAGACAGTGTCTTGCTCTGTCACCCAGGCTGGAGTGCAGTGGCATGATCTTGGCTCACTGCAATCTCTGCCTCCTGGGTTCAAGCGATTCTCCTGCCTCAGTCTCCTGAGTAGCTGAGATTACAAGTGTGCAATGCCACACCTGGCTAATTTTTTGTATTTTTAGTAGTAAAGGGGTTTAGTCATGTTGCCCAGGCTGGTCTCGAATTCCTGAGCTCAGGCAATCCACCCACTTCAGCCTCCCAAAGTGTTAGAATTACAGGCATGATCCACTGTGTCTGGTTTCCACTGATAACTTGATTCTCACAATTCTTTTTTTTTTTTTTTCCCCCGAGACGGAGTCCTGCTCTGTGGCCCAGACTGGAGTGCAGTGGTGTGATCTTGGCTCACTGTAATCTCTGCCTCCCAGGTTCAAGCGATTCCCCTTCCTCAGCCTCCCGAGTAAGTGGGACTATAGGCACCGCCACCATGCCTGGCTAATTTTTGTATTTTTAGTAGAGATGGGGTTTCCCCATGTTGGCCAGCACGTCTTGAACTCCTGACCTCAGTTGTTCCATCTGCCTCAGCCTCCCAAGGTGTTAGGATTACAGGCATGAGCCACTGCACCCAGCCATCAAAATTCTTAGTTTAGTACTTCATGGAACACTGGGATTTTATGGCTGAAAGGGATTGTAGAAATAATCTGGTTCTTTAGTCTTTCATTTTATTATGATTATTATTTTTGAAATAGGGTCTTGCTCTGTTGCCTAGGCTGGAGTGCACTGACATTATGACGGCTCACTGCAGCCTTGACCCCCCCAGCCCAAGTGATCTTCTCACCTCAACCTCCTGAGTACCTGGGACTGTAGGCACACACCACCATGCCCAGCTAGTTCTTAATTTTTTTTTTCATTTTATTTTGTAGAGACAGGGTTTCTATGTTGCCCAGGCTGGTCTCAAACTCCTGGACTCAAGTAATCCTCCAAAAGTGTTGGGATTACAGGGATGAGCACCTTGCCCTGCACACTTTATTATGTTTAGTAATGAAGCATTGAGGCCTAGGAAAGCTGGGTGATTTTCTGGGAAATAAATACCTTGATAATAACAGAACTGAAACTGGAACTGCTGTCTCTAGAATCTTAATTCAGAATGCTTCCTTTTTCACTGTGAAAGCACATGGTGTATTACTGAGAGAAATTACAATTTGCAAAGGTTTACTCTTGTCATTATGCTAGTAATATTAGTCAAATGTCTGGGTTGCACTCCAGAAGGGAAAAATTAGTGTAGAAAGATGTTTTCTGCCTTTAAAGATCTTCTCATTTTAAAGGTGAGAAAAATCTAGCTGACAGCTGGCTATCTCATTTGGGTACAAATTCCTGCTAAAAAAAAAAAAAAAGGCCAAATATATGGCAATTATTTTTCTTTCTTTATTTTTGAAACGGAGTCTCGCTCTGTTGCCCAGGCTGGAGTGCAGTGGTGCAATCTCAGCTCACTACAACCTCCACTTCCCAGGTTCAAGCGATTCTTCTGCCTCAGCCTCCTGATGTATATATCTGGCCAAAAAAGTGTGTGTGTGTATGTATATATATATATATATATATATATATACACATATATATATACACACACACATATATATGTGTGTATATATATATATACTTTATATATATATAAAAGCTTACATATATAAGCTTTTAGGACAAAAAAGTCAGCTTGTACGACTTAATATACTAATATAGTCACACATATTTAAAATAACAATAAGAAAAATTGATTTTTCCCCCTCACAGAGCATTTCTATTCTATTTTTCTTCATAAATATCTTTGACACTAATGTCTTTTTTATTCCTAAAGCCATTTTTTGAGTCATCAAGCAGATTCCCGAAGCACACCTTGGTTGTAAGATCCTGTCACTAGTGTTTTCATCCTAAGCCACAAGTACCTATTTACCAAACTTTGGATTTTCATTTGTTCTGTAGTACATATTAAATTCCAGGCATCTGTGCCATCCCCAAGTTATACATTATTTTTCACAGTAAAGTCAGTGAGAGGCACTGGATTGAGTCTCTATAAGAGCTCAAATATAGGGCCAGTCCTTCTTTTCTAAGGTTTAATCTTGGGGGAGGGGATCTTTGACCTAAATTTAGATATCTGTTGTAACTCCATTCTAGCCCGTATCCATGGACTTCCTCCTAATTGCTGTCTTCTATGATATTTGCTCAGTTGTGACACTAACGAAATAAGTGCGTCATTATCAGACTTCTACCACTTTCCCTGAGGGAAACCCAGTCTGCGTCCTACTGATAAGTACTGTCAGCCTTAACATGTTCATGTATCAGAAATATCTTTTTATTTTCCTACACAAACAATATTTGCCATAGTGCTGCAGAACTGGAGTGACATTAGACTTAGAAGTCCAGAAGGCTTATGAAGTTAGGCTAAAAATGTCTTAGAGTGTGGCAGTGCTTCCAGTGGGCCAGTGTGGCGCGTCCTTCCCTCCCTCCTTCAGCTCGGCCTGGGTACTCCGGACGTGGTGCCGGCTCTTACTTCAACCACTGGGCCGTGCAGCTCTGCCCTGCAAAGCCTTTGTCCACATGGCCGGCCTAGATTTATCTGCATCAGGGCTGAGGTTTGAGTCAGGGATCATGTTTTCTCTGTGGATGTGCAGTTGGCCCAGCTCAGTTTACTGAAAGCCGTGCTTTCCCTGAGCTGCTGGCTGCTGCGTCTCCTGTCAGGGCTAACGGCAGGCACCCAGCAAAATTACTAACTGGAGTTACTGGTTTAATGAGCAAATGTGGAAGAATTTCTTTCTCTGTGATGCTTACTGGATTATTCAAGTTTTGAAACTGTGACCCTGGTCCATTACCATCATGCTTTACTCAGCTGAAATAAGCCTCTGTTGCTGGTTGGGGAGGTGCAGAGGGTGGGGTGAGAAGGGGATTGAGGGCAATTATATACATCATTAAGATACCATGATATACAGTGAAAATCTAACTTGCTAAGACACTATATTTGAGGTTTGAAAATTACTGATCACAGCTACTAAATAACAATGCACCAAAGTTTTACAATATTTGAACACCTGCAAGTATAGAGCTTTCTGGTATGACCCAAATTTGAATACAAATGTCAGGAAGTTCATTGAATATTAGGTTATCAGTAAGCTAGAGGAAACAGATTACATACATTTCATAGGTATTAACTTACAAAAAAAGTGGAGATTGGGTAAACATTAAGTGAAATTATTTTTAAAAAAATGGCATGGAGTGAGTACAACTTCCTCACTCCCAGCACATTGATTTCTCCCTTGGGATGTTTTCTGAATCCCTTTTGGATTTGTAGAAGGGTCAAAGTCAAACTTTAAAGTGTTAAACTTTAAGAAAATTACCTTTTACCCCCCATAGGATAACTAATACAGTAGTATATTTATATTTTCAGAAAGTTCAGACATGTCTGCTTTTGCAAATGATAGAACTGTGATAATTGGGAAAAATGATATCCAGTAGAACCCAGTTTGTCACACCCTCTCATATGTTGCTGATGAGAGTGCAAAGTGATATACAGGAATCTTCGATTTCAGAAGCCACTTGTGCTTTTAAGGTGATGCTTTTTTACAAATACAGAATTATTAGAATCTGAAATTTGTCTCCCTTGTATCTAACTGTTGTTTCCGGGGCTTTTCAAAGACTTCCCTTTTCACATTTGCATTTCTTGAGTATCCTGTGGTTTTCATAATAAAATGCAGCTTCTTCAGGACTCCTGAGGGTGTGGAAGGCAGGTCCTTTGCTGGGCTGATTGCTCTTTCAGGGTCCTGAAGCCACCATACATCCTAGAGAGTGGAACTGGAAACAAATGTGCAGTTTAAGTCTTCTCACAGGACTTTATGGTGGTAGAATTGTTTTATTAGTTTATAGTCGCTGTAGTAGGATTTACCAGAAATTACTCTTCCTCCTTGCTTTGGAAAAAAATAATATGTGATATTCTAAGCTTTGTTACTAAAAGCCACCTTTTCTCTGTAGGATCAAAGTGCTTAACTTTGTTGGTTGAAATCCACCCTGTTAACAATGTGAAGGTTCTGAAAGCTGTGGATAGCTATATTTGGGTTCAGGTAAGTAAGCATACAGTCATCACTTACTCATTTAATCAAAAGACATGCAATTCTCAGAGCAATCTTATAGACTACTACAGCTGAAAGTATCTTCCGTTCTTTCTTTGCAAGCATGGAAATTAACTCAAAGCTAGCTCCTCTGACTCTGTTACACTATCATTTGTTTCATAGTAATGTAATTTCTCATGATAAAATTTCAAATATTAAAGCACATTTAAGGCCAGGGTGGGGTAGGTGACGCCTGTATTTCCAGCACTTCGGGAGGCTGAGGTGGGCAGATCACGAAGTCAGGAGATTAAAACCGTCCTGGCCAACATGGTAAAACCCCTTCTCTACTAAAAATACAAAAATCAGCTGGTTGTGGTCGCATGTGCCTGTAATCCCAGCTACTCGGGGGGTGTGGGGGCGGGCTGAGGCAGGAGAATTGCTTGAACCCAGGAGGTGGAGGTTGAAGTGAGCCTAGATCATGCCACTGTACTCCAGCCTAGCGACAGAGAGACAGAGCAAGAGCGAGGTCCTCCATTGTCAACCAGTCCTTTCAGCTGCACATTTCCCCACCACTCCATTTCAAAACAAAACAAGAAACCCCTACACATTTAAAGTAAGGTTTAAATGGTCTATGTAATATATTTATGTGGTTGACAGATTAAATACCTATGATTAAATGATTAAATCCCTGAATTTATCAACTTCATGAGTTGATGCAGAAACTGCATGTATAATGTGGAATAGTACTCATTATTTGCAGATTTCATATTTGCAAATTCTCCTACTCCTAAAATTTGTTTATAACCCTTAAATCATACACTGATAGCACTTGGTTAGTTATTTGCAGATGAACTCTGAGTGGTGAAAGAATTTGTCACCCAACATGCACATTCGCAATTGAGGTTGAACACGGTGATGCCCTGCCTTTTTTGTTTTAGCTCTGATACTAAAACGACTGCTGTTTTCATGGCCTACTTCCATCTTTCAAATTTTTGTGCTTTTTCCTGGCAATTTCACTGTTTAAATGGCCTCCAGGCATAGCCCTGAGGCACTGTCCAGTGTTCCTAAGTGCAAGAAGGCTGTCAGATGCCTTACGGAGAAAACATGTGTTTCAGATAAGCTTCATTTAGGCATGAGTTCCTATGCCACAGGTTTAAGTAGTGTCTTTAAATAGAAACACACAAAACAAGGTTATATACTGATCTGTTGACAAACATGTTGTGAGTAGAGGCTTACAAGAATTTATCCTTGTATGAGTTTGGATCATAATCTGAAAAGACAATCCCGAACACCAAAATCATGAATGTCGAAATCCTGAAAGGTAAAAATCCCTGATGTCTAAAGTCCCAAAAGTCATGATCACAGGGTAGTTAGTATACCCAAGTGTCTATACTTTCAAAACTGTATATGTTATTATTTGCCTATTGTATAAAGTGGACTATGAAGTGTGCTTTTGTGTTTCGCTTCTGAGATAATTCTCCTTCTAAAAATGTGAATACAGCTTTTAAATAACTTTTAAAATTATTTTCTTCTAGGATTATATTTTTGGGATTTTGATCTTTTGGGATTTCAGTATTTAGGATTATGGCATTGGGGATTGTGTCTTTCAGGATTATGATCAACTCCCTTTGTATTTTCCCTAAGAATGATGGTTCAGTATTCGGCATACAACATTTGTCGTGACTTTACAAAACTTAACTACTGAAAATAATTTGTATCTAAAGTATATGTTCATGCAGTGCTTCAGAGTAATTTCCTTTCATCTAATTTTACATTTTGTTACAGAGTCAAAATATTTCTTTTGGTCTAGCTGGAGTCAATTTGTACCACCCAAAGTATCTGCCTCTTTGTCTCCCAAGCTACTACCAGCCTCCAGCCTATGGGCCTTCCTATTCCAGTGGGTTAGGAGAGAAGGTTGTCTCTCCCTACTCACGGTCCGCCACTGTCAGCCAGTCCTTTCAGCTGCGCATTTCCCCACCATTCCTGATTGCACTATGGGTCATTTCTCAGTTCCAGACAGGGGCCTGGCCTGAAGCTCCCAAGCTACGTTCTGCTACCTCAGGAAGCTACTCTGTCTACACTGTCATCAGTGTGGGGGCAGCTGGGGGACAGAGCACACTTCCCTTTTCTTTTTTCTTTTTTCTTTTTTTTGAGACGGAGTTTCGCTCTCGTTACCCAGGCTGGAGTGCAATGGCATGATCTCGGCTCACCGCAACCTCCGCCTCCTGGGTTCAGGCAATTCTCCTGCCTCAGCCTCCTGAGTAGCTGGGATTACAGGCACGTGCCACCATGCCCAGCTAATTTTTTGTATTTTTAGTAGAGACGGGGTTTCACCATGTTGACCAGGATGGTCTTGATCTCTCGACCTCGTGATCCACCCGCCTCGGCCTCCCAAAGTGCTGGGATTACAGGCTTGAGCCACCGTGCCCGGCCTACACACTTCCCTTTTCTGGTCTGCTCTTTGACTTCCTCAGCATCTCTAGTTAGGGCTGTATAGATGCTGGAGACATGACTGAAGGATTGGGGTAACTAAAGGCAATTGGAGCATAGAAAGGGGAAAAGTTTTTAAAAGCAAGTGGTTGTATACATTGTGAACATATTAAAAACTACATATATATAGATGGTTAAAATGTTAAATTTTATATTATGCAAATTCAATTTTAAAAAGTTAAAAGTGGTTGGGCGCAGTGGCTCATGCCTGTAATCTTAGCACTTTGGGAGGCCAAGGCAGGTGGATTGCCTGAGCTTAGAAGTTCGAGACCAGCCTGGCCAACATGGAGAAACCCCATCTCTACTTAAAGTATAAAAGTTAGCCATGTGTGGTAATACGCTTCTGTAATCCCAGCTCCTCAAGAAGCTGAAGCAGGAGAATTACTTGAAACCCGGGAGGTGGAGGTTGCAGTAAGTCAAGATCATGCCATTGCATGTCGGCCTGGGCAACAGAGCGAAACTCGAAGTCAAAAAAAAAAGTTAAAAGTATGTGGAACAGGACAACATCTATAGGCCAAAGAAAAAGTCCCCACTCAAATAAAGTAAAACCTGTACCCATTCTTTGGAGCCATCTCAGTTCCTAACCCTGCCTTCTGCTCCCATGTCTATACCTCTGGAGAGAGAAATTCCTCCAAAGCCCGGTGGCAAATACCCATCTTCACCCTCTAGAGAAATAACATTTACTCTCCATTGAGTTGGCCTTGCCCTGGAATCTATTTCCTTTTTCTTACAAAAACATCTGTGGTGATCTCCAGTAGCACATTTCTCTAACTCTGCATGTATAGTCGTGACCACCTACACAGAGGAGCTTCAGCAGGACAGTGGCAGGTGGGGCTTGGATCCCAATCCGGGACCCTTTGGGTGTTCCCTTCCAGCATGAGGTGTGTCTTCCAGATAGTTCCAGTGGATAATTATACACCCTCTACACACCTAGACTACACATTTCCAAAGACCAATATTCATTCGAAGTCTAGCTCCATATTTGTGAAGATAAATTTTCCTAAGGAAATATAATCTCCATGGAGTCCTAGTTAAAATACAAAAAGCCACCTTGAATGCTTTTGTAGAGCTGTGTCTGAAGCCTGTCTGTTGTTGGTTTCCAGGCCTTACTCTAGGACCACCTTACAATAGAAACAAAAAAACACCTACCTAAATGGGACTTTAAAAATAACATTCTCCCTGATTGTCACAGGAAGACCAGGTAGAGGTTTAGAGGTTGGCAGTTACACCTCTTCAGCACCTCAGTCCATGTCACGTTCCTAAGCAGGCATGCCCTGGACACCTCTGTAGACCTGGAGTAGGAGCATCTCCATGTTTGAGGCACTGAACATTTGTTCTTCCGTCATATATGTAGTGTCATTCATCTCTGCTTTTCCTCAACTCTAGTATACAAAGTATCTTGTTTGATGTGTGACATTTTACAAATCATGAGACAATTAGTATATTTTTGTATTTTTGTAGCTGAATTCTTCATTGCTATTTTATAATTTTGACTTTATTGCTGTGATGCCTGTGTTTTGCTTTTCATTTCTAAAAGGGAAGTCAACTATAAATGTTCCAAAAGTTGACTAGTCCTATTTTTAATCTGATATTATGAAAAGTTAGGACACTAGGAAGTAATAAAAAATCATCCTAAATTTTAGTGAGACTAACGATTGGGAGATTGGGACACAAAAGTTATGCCCTTTCATATTACTTTCAAGCTTTGGGTAAGGAAAAGAACAAAATTTTTCTTTCATGCCACAAAATGAAACAGCTTATTTACAGTTGCCCTTTTCAGTCATCCTGTGACCAGTTTTTTCTCATTGTTACAGCTGACAGGGCCCAGGACTCGGTTGGTGGCAGCCTGCTTTATCCTGTAGATAGACACATAGTGGTGGGTTCATATGGGAGAGCACAGAGAAAGAGAAATGGGGTGGGTTTAAGCCTTTTCTTCCCAGTGACAGTCGTTGTATGCGTTCAGGCTTGTAAATCATCAACCCATGTGACACCATGACTCACTGTTCTTTCTTGACATGTTCTGGTTATATTACGCTTTGTCTCTTGGATGTGGGACTTTGGAAGTTCTTGTGGGGAATATGTTTACTTGGCTCTCAAGTTCTATACTAGGTTGAGTTGCACAACAACTATATTGACTGGTGTGTGTGTGTGTGTGTGTGTGTGAAATAGAACATTCTGTATAAATGTTGTTTGCGTTGTTTTTGATTGGTTTCAGAATCATGTATTCCAAATAGGAAGTACCATCCCTAGAGATAACTTCCACTTCAGCATCACTGTTTATTTTACTTTATTTATTTGTTTTTAGACAGAGTCTCACTGTATCACCCAGGCTACAGTGTAGTGGCATGATCTTGGCTCACTGCAACTTCCACCTCCTAGGCTCAAGTGATACTCCCACCTCAACCTCCTGAGTATCTGGGACTACAGACACATGCCACACTTGGCTAAGCTTTTGTATTTTTTTGTAGAGACGAGAACTTGCCATGTTGCCCAGGCTGATCTTGAACTCCTGAGGTGAAGCGATCCATCTGTCTTGACTTGTCCAAAGTGTTGGGGTTACAGGTGTGAGCCACTGTGCCTAGCCAGTAGCCTTACTATTTAAATAAGTGAAGACAGTGTTGTACTTGAAATCAGTTTCCCTCTGGAAAACTGAGGTCCTGAAAGTGTTTCCTTTTCTTGCTTGCTTTGATCTGCGATACGTGTGTGTGTATAAGTGATTCCCCTAAGCTCTTCTGTGATTCCCAGTTTCTTCAATGGTATGTAATAGTACAGTCATCAAACACAATTTTAGAAATACTTGTTCAAGCAAGATACTTGTTTATAATTATGATTAATTTCTTTTTTACAGTTTCTGTACCCACATGTTGAAAGTCATCCTCTTCCAGAGAACTGTCTGTTACTGATTTCAGAAGAGAAATGTAAGTGTATCTTTAGGTGAAATGTGGGGATTTCATGAATGGCATGTGGCCTCCTAGCATGGGACATGATTGAATCTTCTAGATATCCATTTGCCATTGTCAAGGGTCCACTGACCTTTGATGTTCATATGAGACCTGGAATTCCTTGGGAAGGGCTTTTCCTTTGGCCCCCAAGTGTTGTTCCCTTTGGTTCTGCTCAGCTTTCTCATCCTGGGAACGATGGGCTCTTGCATACATGGATTTGCAGTTTTGTCCTGTGGTAGAATGTTTGTAGAACAGTTGCACAGGTCATTTTTGTCGTCTTTAGTTCATTTGTCTTTTGGATGTCTGTCACAGTGGATAACTATAGTATAAAAGAGATGTTTGGATGGAGAGAGGGGAAGTAGCTAGAAGAATCCCTTGGCAGAACTTGAGGACTCACACTAACAGACAAATTCAGGTAGAGGCAAATAAGTTTAGGACGTAAAAGGTTATGTCCTTCCATGATGATTTCAAGTTAGGAGAGGGGAAGGAAGGACAAAATTTACTGATGGAACTTATCTAGTAAGTGGTCTTTCACATTACAAGATGAAACTGCTAGTTTATGGTGTTTATAGTTGGAAGGACAGGCTTGAGGGGTAAGGCTGTGTTCGGTCTCTAAGCTCTTGTTCAGTTTGGTAACTTGAATCAGCAGAAGGTAAATATGGCTGAATTTAAATTGTTACTGCTAGAAAGGGACCATCTACACAGCTTGACTTTAGAGTTCAGGGTTTTGTTCATGTGAAATTGACCCCTATTAAAATGCTTCCCCAGAATGTCTCGTATGATGAGTTTTCTGTCTGGTATGTTCATACAAACAAGTGTTTGGGATTTGGAAATTGAAGATAAACTCTGCCAAGTAAGCCCTTGTTAGCTCTGTACAAGACTGATGGTATAGGGGAGTCAAGTACTTGTTGAGGGAACCCAGGGAAGCAGGAGAGCTAAATGCTTCATGTATTGTTGATATTGAGGAGCAGAATAAATGCAGGACTTGAAATTAACTGTAAAGGGAGAATGGAGAAAAGTGGAAGTTTTTGAACCTTTATTGTGAGATTACAGTTTGTAATAATATTGTTTTGTGGCCAGTTGTTTAATCTGCATTGCTTTTTTTTTTTTTTTTTTGAGACGGAGTCTTGCTCTGTCACCAGGCTGGCGTGCAGTGGCACAATCTCGGCTCACTGCAGCCTCTGTCTCCCAGGTTCAAGAGATTCCCCTGCCTCAGCTTCCTGAGCAGCTGGGACTACAGGCACGTGCCACCATGCCTAGCTAATTTTTTGTATTTTAATAGAGATGGGGTTTCACCATGACCAGGATGGTCTCGATCTCCTGACCTCGTGATTCGCCCACCTCAGCCTCCAAAAGTGCTGGGATTACAGGCATGAGCCACTGCGCCCAGCCCTGCACTGCTTTTATAACAATGTTTTTACAAGTGTTATGTAAAAATAGTACTCATATTTCCTTAAGGTTAATTTATCTTTTTTTTTTATAGATATTGAAAAATTTCGTGTCCATGTCGCCCAAGAAGATGGAAATAGAGTGGTAAAAATTTGAAAATCTTTTTACTTCATAGTTTTTTCCACAAAGAACTACATTCCTAGATTGTTAAAGATAATGTTACTGATACATGATTCTTTATGTCTTTTGAAGCATAGTCTTTTTGTTTTAATGTGTAAAATGCTACAAATATACATGAAGTTAATTGTCCCCTTTTTCTCTACCTCAACCCTCAATCTCAGTATCCTGAGGTAGCTAATAACAGCCTGTATGAGTCTTTCCACAGCTTTTTACCTTGTTCATGCAAAGCTATGCCAGGTTAGATGCATGTATGTGGGGATTTAATTGTTTTTACTAAAGTAGCATCATAATACATTTACCTGCTGCTTTTATGTTTGCTTTTGCTTAGCAGGTAAAAAGAGATCAGGAGTATCTCTTTGGGTTACTAAAATAGAGATATAACTAACTGGTTATTTTTTTTTTTTTTTTTTTTTGAGACGGAGTTTCGCTCTTGTTACCCAGGCTGGAGTGCAATGGCGCGATCTCGGCTCACCGCAACCTCCGCCTCCTGGGCTCAGGCAATTCTCCTGCCTCAGCCTCCTGTAGCTGAGATTACAGGCACGCGCCACCACGCCCAGCTAATTTTTTGTATTTTTAGTAGAGACGGGGTTTCACCATGTTGACCAGGATGGTCTCGATCTCTTGACCTTGTGATCCACCCGCCTCGGCCTCCCAAAGTGCTGGGATTACAGGCTTGAGCCACCGCGCCCGGCCAAACTGGTTATTTATTCTAATTTTTATATGTACCTATATACATATAATGGGATCATACCATATTTTTATACCATGTATAAAATCTTACTGTATATCATACCATAAACGGGTTTCATTGAGTATAATTTTTCTTGTCTTCCACATGTACTTTAAAAAAAATCTCTTTTGTTCGCAACCTGGTATGTATCCTTGCATACTTTTCTCCATACTAATAGTCATCTCCTACCCCCACCTCTGACCCACTCAGAGTTTTATTATTCATTTCTTACTCATTCAGCTTTGTGGAATTACCTACAAGTAAACTAGAATAGCTCCAATTTAGTCTCTTTAGAAGTAGATAATAGTCTCTGGTGTGGATAGACATTCACTAAATTGCCAATTTTTTGTTTTGTTTTTGAATTATAAGTCATCTCAAACTTTTTTATTCCTATAGCCTTATGTATTGGTACATATATTTCTTTGAGCTATATTTCAGGGATGGATTGTTGGTTTGATAGATACATACATTTAATAAATTCCAACAGATTTTTTCCAGATTGCTTTCTAAAAAACTTCTAACAATTGACAGTTTTATAAGCAAAATTTAAGAGTATATGTTCCCTCAATTCTTATCATGAAAAGGTATATTTACCTTTTAAAAAATTTCCAATTTGATGAGTGTAAGTTGATAGCTTATTATCTTAGTCTGTATCTCCCTTAATATTAATGCATTTCAGCATCTTCTCCAAAGCTTCTTGGCTCTTTGATTTGCTTTTTTCAAAATTGTTTAGTTGTATCCTTATCTATTTTTTTACTGGGTTGTCTTTTTCTTGATAATTTGCATAGGATCTTAATATGTTATTGATATTAAAAATGATTTTCTTCAATATTTAGTCTGCATCAAAATTGTCTTTGAAGATCTTAACATTTCTCTGAAGACTGTAAAGTGAAATGAGCAATTGAAACAGAAAATGGCACTTATTAATTGTGTATCAGCTATTGAAAGACTTAAATCAAGAAGCCTGCCTGGAAAATTGCCAGGAGAAAGTGTGTTGCTGGAGCTCTGGGCTACCATTGTCCTGCAGGGGCTAACTGGATGGGAGCACAATGACAGACATGGGCAAGGGGTCAGAAGAGGGTCAAGCTCTAGAGGAAAGATAAAGGCTGAATCCCAAAGCCAGTGATCAGAGTTGAGAAGAGTTAAATAAGCAAGTTGGGGTCAGTAACTGGGAATGAGCATAGACCAGGGGACTGGCTGATTAGAAGAGGGCTTGAGAGGGGAGAGGGGAGAAACAGACACACACTGGCAATGGAGGGGACACCTGTCAGCAGCCCAGAAAAGATTCTGCCATTCAGGATGGTGCAGCTTTAGCATTCCTTAATTCAAATGTGTTCTTCCAAGAAGTACTTCTGCCCTCATTCTTAAAGGCTTAGATGACAGCTTCATACAGCATAAGTGTAATAACATCTCTGTGATGCAGGGATGTTGTGAAGTATATGCAATTCCTCATATTCTTCACAACATCCCTGCATGATAGAGATGGTATTATGCTTATCCCTATTTTTACAGAGAAGATAGCAACCAGGATTTACAGAGATGAGGTGACTCTAGAGAGGAACAAAATTGAGATTTGAACCTGGTTATGCCACAGTCGGACATTCATGTTCTTGTTAGTGCGTACCTTTATCTGGAACGGTTCTCAAATCTACTCCTGCTAAACAAATTTCAAAAAAAAAAAAAAAAAAAAAAAAAAGATTGTCCAAGGTTTAGAGACAGATAGGTCCTCTTGGATCTTTTCTCTGGCATCACTTTCCTCTTGTCTGACTATAATGGACAGGGCAGGCAGGAAATAGTGGTTTACATCTCTTTATGTCACATGGCTCCCTCAAGTTGCAAGTTAGCCTGGGTGGAAAAATCCCTGTTAGGATTAGGGAGGGTTTAAGCATGAATATGGACCATTCTGGTGTTTCCTTTTTTTCTCACTTCTTCGACCCCAACCTGTCTTTATTCTTTACTTATCTATCTCAATGTGGGTTACTTTTGGTTAATAAGCATTTTGAAGAACATTAATTCTTTTTTTTTTTTTTTTTTTTTTGAGACAGAGTTTCGCCCTTGTTACCCAGGCTGGAGTGCAATGGCGCGATCTCGGCTCACCGCAACCTCCGCCTCCCGGGTTCAGGCAGTTCTCCTGCCTCAGCCTCCTGAATAGCTGGGATTATAGGCACGCGCCACCATGCCCAGCTAATTTTTTGTATTTTTAGTAGAGACGGGGTTTCACCATGTTGACCAGGTTGGTCTTGATCTCTCGACCTTGTGATCCACCCGCCTCCGCCTCCCAAAGTGCTGGGATTACAGGCTTGAGCCACCGCGCCCGGCTTGAAGAACATTAATTCTTAACTGCTTCTGTTAAATTATTTTGAGGTCAGCTGATGCACTGATAGGGCAATGAGAGGATTCCAGGACATGGATTCCAGACCTTGCTGAACTAACTATGCAGCCTAATCTAACTGCTCTGGGCCTGAGTTTTCTTACCTATTAAGGGGTTGAATTGGATGGTTTCTAGAATCTCCTTATTTTAAAGTTCCATAGTTCTGACTTTGTTACTTAGTAAACAGATGTTTTATACCTGTAATATCTTTGGCAATTTACTCTTGCACACCTTATTTCATTTTCTGCCTCTTTTTTTTCTTTTGTTTTGTTTTGAGATGGAGTCTTGCTCTGTCACCCAGGCTGGAGTGCAGTGGCGTGATCTTGGCTCACTGCAACCTCTGCCTCCCAGGTTCAAGTGATTCTCCTGCCTCAGCCTCCCAAGTAGCTGGGATTACCGGTGTGTGCCACCATGCCTGGCTAATTTTTGAATTTTTTTTAGTAGAGATGGGGTTTCACCATGTTGGCCAGGCTGGTCTCGAACTCCTGACCTCAGGTGATCCACCTACCTCGGCCTCCCAAAGTGCTGGGATTACAGGCGTCAGCCATGCCTGGCCCATTTTCTGCCTTCTGAAAAAACATTCCTTGAGCACTGTTACATGCTAGAAATAATCAGGGAATTGGTAATAGAAAGGTGCTGTAGAAGAGTGCATGCTCATTAATTAAAATGTAATTGTCATAGAAGCATGCCAGTGCACCATAGGAAAACAGGTGAGGATTATACTACATCTGGGGGATGGGAGGGAAGGCTTTGTGTGGAACACAATGTGTAAGTCAGGTCTGATGAATTGAGTAGTTAAGTATTGCTGAGAGATGGGCAATAACATCATACTCATCATGGAAGACATAAAGGTGAGAGGCATGCCCAAAGCTGCATGGTTGGTTTATGGCCAAACTGGGGTCATTGTCGATTACTTCCTACTTTGAGGCCTGAGCTTTTTCTTGGCATCACAGCCTCTATCTTTGGTAGTGGAGGGTTCTTGTCTGCAGAGGCTTGACTTGAGAGAGTTAGGTACAGAACAGTAAGTTCTGAATCTTCTATTAATGCAGCTGTTGATTTCTGGGAGGTATGGTCTTGCCTTCAACAGCCTCAGTCTGTGTGCTAAACTAAGAACAAGAATAAAATTATATATTATAGAGTGGGAAGAGGAGGAGGCAATGAAATGATGTCTTAAAACATTTCTGGAAAGACTGTGTGCTAGGGGTGGGGAGCTTCTAACAGTGAACTGTGGAAATATTTACATGTATCATAAAGGTAGACATGGAAAATAATTATGAATTCCAGATATGTTGTCCTTTAAAAGTTATTAAATCATACCTTTTTTTTTTTTTTTTTTTTTTTTTTTTTTTTTTTTTTTTTGCATTTTTAGGTGATTAAAAATTCTGGCCATCTCCCAAGAGACAGAATAGCCGAGGATTTCGTTTGGGCTCAGTGGGATATGTCAGAACAGAGATTATACTACATTGACCTGAAGGTAAAAAAACTAGTTTGTGGCCACTCTTTTTTTTTTTTTTTCTCCAAAAATAATAATTTTTTTAGAGATAGGGTCTTGCTCTGTTGCTGAGGCTGGAGTGCAGTGGTGTGATCATAGCTCACTGCAGCCTTGAATTCCTGGGCTCAAGTGATCCTCCTGCCTCAGGCTCTGAAAACATAGATTACAGGCATGAGTCATAGTGCCTGTCCCCAGCACTTTTTTATAAGAACAATCTGATTTTGACATTATCATTACTGTAGTTCATTAATCACTACATTTTCATTGATGGAAATTGTCAATGAAGTTTTAAATATAATGAAAAGATTTTCATTATTGTTTGCTTCTTGACTGCTTCCTTTTTTTTCCCTAGTGTTTTTTAATATGTCATTCTGTTTACTGTTTTAGAAATCAAAGAGTATCTTAAAATGTATCCAGTTTTATGCTGATGAGAGCTACAACTTAATGGTAAGTTTGGAAAATGATCACACTACAGGAAATTTTATGATACCTTACTCTTTTGTTATCATAAACAGCACTTTAGCATTCCTGATGGTTGTGTTAGTCACTTGTATGAGCAAGTAAAATAGTTCTTGCCGTTTCCAGGCTTCAATACCAGAAATGTCTGCTAGCTGAATGCTCTACATCAAAGAAACACATATGAGTGGGGATTAGTAGTAGAAGATACTAGGTTGGTGCAAAAGTAATTGCGATTTTTAATCATTCAAAATAATGGGAAGAATTATAGTTACTTTTGCACCAATCTAATAATTGGTGTGGTCTGTAAGCAATAGCTTTAAGGGGTTGCACTTTATTTGACCCAAAAGGACTTGTGAGGATGGTCGATTTGAGAATGAAGAGAAAAGCCCTGAGGCCATTTATCTGGCCCCCACCGCACTTCAGGAAGGGGCACCTCTTTCATTGGTGGTCAGTGAGAGCAGCACAGTATGTGGCGGCCCTCCAATGGTCTGAGGGATAGTGAACTGGCCCCCTGTGTAAAAAGTTTGGGGACGCCTGATGCATAGTTTAACCAAAATCTAGTCTTACCCCTGAGAAAGCTATTTAGGATGTTAGCATTGTGTTACCTCAGTCAAAAAAAACCTTAAAAATAGGAAAATTTAAATTTTAAGAATTTGAATTTAAAAAAATATAAAATAAAGGTAGCTTTGTGGTGCAGAGTCATTAATATCTTTGCGATGGACAGTACTTTTTTTTTGTTTGTTTGTTTGTTTTTGTGCGCGGTATATGGGTGAGGGTGGGGTCTTGGTGGTGGTGCTTTTGGCACAGGACATTATGGAATGTGTGTAGGTAGGTCGTGTGTTCTCAGTTGTCTCACGTGCTACCTCCACTGTCCTATTCAAAGCAAATTCCTATGCCTAAGGCATCCTATACTGGGATTCAATATTACACAAAGATGGTGAAATAATGCGATACTAACACATAAGTGGTGAGGTATGGGGTGGGAAAGGGGAGAAGAGTTTGGTTAGAATGTTAGAAGACATTGGTCTACAAGATCATGAAATATGATGCGACAGAAAAAAAATCGTGAAAGATCAAAACACTTTAGAAAAAAAGTATGAATAGACATGTTAGTACTTGGACATATATAAAAAGGTTGATTTATATACTGGTGGTAGCAATATTGAAAGTGAGATAAGGTTTAAACATATGACTATTATGGGGACGATATGAAGACAGTAAGAAAAGAGAGGAATATATATGTGTGATATCTAGCTAGAAGGAAGGAAAGTTACAAAGCTGCAAGGAGGGAGGGAAACGAGGTGATAGTCGTAGGGATTAAGATGGGCGAGGACCCAACAGTGTGGTCTAGAGATGAGTTATGCATGCAGCTAGGAAAGGGTGGTCACGGGTGGGTACACGGGGAAGTTCAATGATCACAGGAGATGCACTGGTGTGTAGCAACTATTGGGATAGGCGATGCAAAGAAGTATTCCCGCGGGGAATAATCTGCAGAGACGGAGGGGTCATCGGAGGGATGTGAAGGGAGTGGGGAGGAAGTACATAGGTGAGGTGGAGGATAGGCGAGGCGAAGAAATGTCAGAACGACGGGCGTGGGGATTAGGAGGAGGTTTTTTTTTTTTGGCAGTTCGAAGTACCCTTGGACATATCATTAAGCAACTCAGGATTTAAGTAAGTTATTCACAGGGCGTTACTAATTTTTATAGACACTTGTGGGCAAAATGATTATATTTATTCCTACTTTATTCAATGCAGATAAGAGTTTGATATTCTGTGTACATCTTTTTTTTTGTATTCCCATTCTCCATAGCAAATATAAACAACTTTATCAAACATGAACCTATAATTTTATATACAAAGTCAATTGTATTGATTTTCTTAGCCACTTATTTTAGTAGCGCATCTCCATTTATTTTGATGTATGAATATACTATTCTCCCTATGATTACCTAGAAGAATTCATTGGGTCAGAGAGAGCTACATTGAGAAGCAAACATCAAAACACTTTTTGTTGCCATCAAAGAGGATGTCAGAGCTCAATCTACTTGTAGCTCAGCTGACTTGGCTTTTTTCTGTTCTCCTTTTTGCACAAAAGACAAGGTTTTTTCCTTTTCCACTGTATTTTACATGTAGCAAAAGCATGAGATGCTTCTGAAAAAATAAGCCATCAGTATGTAGAAGAAATGAAAATCTTCCTAAATTAGAGTAATGATAATCCTGAACTGCTAAGTATTTCACTAGCTTTACTTTATCATATATGAACATTCAGTTGTGCTTATTTTGAAACTAGTGTATGCATTACTCTGTATTAGAAAATTTATAAAAATATAAGATGAAAGTAATATTTTTTCCTTATTACCAGGCCAACGCCATATATATGCCATGTATTTTGAAAAAAACTACAGAATTTATTAATCAATAAAAAATTGTCTACTTAAATTTCTAGGGAATGTGTTTCTGCTTCTCTGGGTATATTATTTAGTGGTTACTCACCTCCTTTATGAAGGGATGTATTTTTAAATGAATTTCTCATTCTTTATTTTCTTAGACTTGTCAACTTTGGATGTGATTATCATCAAGACCGAGAGAAATTATCCAAACACCTAAGTCTGTGTGTTTTTACCAACCATACAGGTAAACTATAGTTGTATTTATCAGTTTATTCAATTGTCCTTGAGTTCTAGACAAAATTTACTTATCGTTTAGCTGTATGGAGTCTGAAAATATAACAGAGCTACATTTTTATATTGGTGATCATATGGATTGTCAAATAACAAATCATCTTCTTTATTAATTTTAAATATACACTGTATCAAGATAGCCATAGTTATTATTATTGTTATTTTTTGAGACAAAGTCTGGCTCTGTTGGCAGGTTGGAGTGCAGTAGTGTGATCTCGGCTCACTGCAACCTCTGCCTCCCAGGTTTGAGCGATTCTCCTGCTTCAGCCTCCCAGACAGTGGTATTACAGGTGCCTGCCACCAGACCTAGCTAATTTTTGTATTTTTAGTAGAGACAGGGTTTCACCATGTTGGCCAGGATGGTCTCGATCTCCTGACCTCGTGATCCACCTGCCTTGGCCTCCCAAAGTTCTGGGATTACAGGCATGAGCCACTGCACCCAGCTGCCAGTTATTCTTAACAGCAGAGTTATTCTTCTAGTAGTTATTATTTGTATGATTTTAATAGAGGAGATGGATTTGTATTTAACCAGTCTACATTTTCTCACCTCCTCCATCTTTTAACAAATGGCAACCCGCAAAGGCTATGCTTTCTGTGTCAGGATTCCTGACGTGTTTGGTTCTAAACTTATGTACCTAGCTTTAAGAGCCATGCTGCAGCCTACCAATGTAACAATCAGAACTTGGCATAAAGTTATTAATGTGAAATATTTTGTTCCTTAATTTTAGTTTTTATAGATAGAAAAATATAGAGGTAAAGAAGAATACCTAAAAATGAGCGATGAATATGATTACATTCAATAAATCTGGTGAAAAAAATGCTCATTAACCTTAGTCATCTAGGTAATCAGCTCTATAACTACATATGATAGCCATTTTTAATATCTCAACTTTAGTGGACATTTACTAGAGTTTAGCAGCATTTGGACTAAAATTGCATTCCTTTGAAGCCAAATTATTACAGGATATTCACCCTTTAGGCCACTGTTTATCCAGCACTTACTGTTTGCTAGGTGTTGCGGATGTGATGGTAAGTAAAATGGCCCTAATCTTTGTTATCATAAAAGTTACTATTTGGTGCAGATTTAATACATTACGTAAGTGCACACATAATATTTAAATGGAATCACATTATGAATGAGCTAAATTATGGGAAGAAATGAAAACTTACAATGGAGGTTTAATAGAAGATACTAATATCTTCAACCATGTTCTAATTCAGCCAGTTCATCCTCGTTTCTGCCTCCCTCCAAGATACTCCATCCCATCCTGTTCTTAGTCCTGAAAACTGCCCCCTTTCCACTTCACTCCTACATAATCCATTCCCCTTTTTGTCCCTCCAGGACTGTCCCCCCAGGTCTCCCTCAGCTGTACTCATCCCTTCATATACTCATCCTGGGGCACTCAAGGGAGTGGTATTTCAGTGGAGACTTGAAGGGTGTATATGAGCTAAGACCATGTCACTGCAGTAAAGTGAGTGAGAGAGAGAGAAAGCTGGAGAGGTAGGCAGGGGGCAGGCTATGTAGCACCTTGTGGATCATGGGAGGATTTTAAACTTTATCCTAAGAGTGATGAGAAGTCATTGAAGGATATTTTTTGTTACTATACAATTTATTTTGAGAATGTGCAAGCTCACTGAAAAGTTCAAAAATACAGTGAACATGCATGTACCTTTTACTCAAACAATTATATCATTTATGGTTTTTACTTTGTCATTCTCACTTTATATAGATATCGTTTTCTTCTTTTTCGACAAAGTCATTCAAAATAGGTTGCAGACATCATAACACCTAACCACTAGGTAATTCAGCACATACCTCCTTTGACTAAGGACGCTCTTCTACATAATCTCTGTTGCCTTATTACTGAAATAAATTAATCACATTAATCTATAAACTTTATTCATATTTTCATAATTTTTTCAAAAATGTGTGTGTATATATAAATAAATATATATGTATAGAACTTGTAAAGTCAGGATTCCATCGAGATTAATACATTACATTTGGTCATTTAAATCTTTGTGGTCTCTGTTAATGTACAGCAATTTTCATATCTTCCCTGACTTTTCTTTTCATTGACATACTGAAGAGTCCAGGCCATGTGTCTTAAGGAATGATCCACATTCTGGATTTATCTAATTGTTTACTTAGATAAACATTTAACTTTTTCCTCTACACGTTTCCTGTAAAGTGGAAGCTACATGCAACAGAGTAACAGCGTAGTTAGACATAAGTTAAGTGTTTTTAGTGAGAATACTTCATAGGTGATGTTGCAAACTTTGTTTTTATCAGATCAGGAATGTCAGGATGTCCTACTGTTAGTGATGCTAAGTCTGATCATTTGGTTAAATGGTAACCCCTGTATGTCTTCCTTGTGAAGGCACATTTTAACCTCTGAATTAGTAATTTGTAGGACAGTGCTTTGTCACCATGTGACTATTCTATTCTCTAATAGCTTTTCACCTGTCAGTTTGAAGATTCACTGATACTCCTTCACAGAAGTGTCTATGCAGGCAGTCATGCGATTGCATGTGTATTTTCAAATGATCATTGTGGCTTCTGTATGGAGGATGGATTGGAGGAGGCAAGAGAAAAAGTGGGAAGATGAACAGTTAAGATGAAGTCTAGTTCTGTATTTGAAATAAGGGTGAACTAGGATGGGCAGTACAGGTGGAGAGAACTAGATGGGTTTGAGATACATTTTGGAGATGAAATTGAGATGATTTACTATAAATTATATTGAAGAGGAGTGGTTCTCAGGTTTCTGGCATCAGCAAATGAGTGAACAGTGGTGCCATTTACTGAGGTATAGGGGTTTTGGTGGAGCTTAGGAAGATTGTGAGGTTTATTTTGGACATTTTGACTAAAAGATCTGGAGCTTAGAAGAGGGTTCAGAACTGACAATGAATAAATGTGGAAGTTGTAAGGCTATAGCTGGCATTTGAAACCATAGGAGGGAGTATTTGGTCAGGAGGGAAGACACTAATAAGATCTGGGAACATAAATATATAAAGGTTAGGCTGAACATCCAAAGGAAAAGGAAAAAAAGAATATCTGGAGAGAGCGAGAGCGAGAGAGAGAGAGAGAGAGACCACCCAAAACAAGTATGGTATTATAGTAGCTGAAGGCACAGGGTATTTTCACAAAGAATTGACTGAATAGGTAGTAAGAGGTAGAGTCTGCTGTGTCTAGTAGCATGAAGATTACTGGGAGCTGTTTGTGTTGGGGAACTGAGGTGAAATCTTGACTATGCTGTGTTAAATGACATATGGAAATTGAAAAAAGTCATAGCAGCATGTATAGACATGAGAGAGGCACCATCTGGAAAGGGAAATAGGATTTAGGGAATATTTTAAGACAGTAGAGACTCTAGGATGTTTGAATGCTTACAGCGTATATTTAGTGGAGAGGAAACAGGACAGTACATAGCAGAAAGGAATAACTGGTACAGTGAATTTGCTTAGAAGGCAGGATGAGATCCAGAGCTCACATGGAGGGAGCAGGGTAGGTTCGTCCCTATTACTTTGCTTTATTTATTTATTTGTGAATGAGATGGAGTCCTGCTCTGCTTTGTTGCCCTGGCTGGAGTACAGTGGCACAATCTTGGCTCCCTGCAACCTCTGCCTCCTTGGGTTCAAGCAATTCTCTTGCCTCAGCTGCCCAAGTAGCTGGGATTACAGGCACACACCACCATGCCTGGCTAATTTTTTTTTTTTTTTTTTTGTATTTTTAGTAGAGATGGGATTTCGCCATGTTAGCCACACTGGTCTCGAACTCCTGACCTGAGGTCATTCACCCACCTCAGCCTCCCAAAGTTCTGGGATTACTGGCATCAGCCACCACACCCAGCCCCTGGTACTTTGCTTTAAATCTGTTGCATATAAACAATCACCTTAGGCTTTAATCTTGTGAAGCTTTTTATTCGTTTTTATATTTTCGCAGGAATTTTTCATGACCATTACTAGTTATAAGTTATAAATGGGGCTAGTTATGACATATTTAATAAAATGTTAGGTTTATCTGACATAAAATGTGGAAGAATCTGTTTTTCCCCTTCTCAGCAGTGTCTGGAAGGGTAGACAATAAGCTTCACTCTTCACAATTGGCTTTGAAAAAAAAAAACCCATTTCAAATGAGATGCTTCCAGGTTTGAGATGCAACAAGCCAGAGAAGCAAGCTTTTGGTTTTTGAATAATAAATTGTTCATGTGTTTTGCATTGTAGTCTTCAAAAGTGGTTTTTAACCTTTGTTGTTAAAATCGACTCCAACAAAATAGGACTGGAGAAGGAAACAAAGAGTCTAATTTAAATGTGACTCCCTCTATAGTAGAAAGCTGAATCCTCCACCAGCATGGAGGCCAGGAACTGGTTCATGAAAGGAATGCTGATAGACTTAGGCCTTTATACAAACTTACTTCAACTATTTACATTAATGATGATGATGTAATAATGATTGATATTTCACTATCACATTATGGTAATCAGAAGCTATTTTGTCCTTTTAGCATTACTTTTTATATTCTTGAAAGCATTTGTCCTGAATTTCCCTGCCCTAAGAAATAAAGACAGCTGTCTTCCAAGGAACTAGAGGTTACAATCTGGGTGAGGGGCATGCTCGTGAGATTGGTGGTGGGCAAAAGTGCTGCTGCCACTGCTGCTGTCAGGCCACTTGTATATTATTTGACATTATGAGGTTTATATAGATTTTTCTAATAAATAGGCTAAATCAGACTTTCTAAGCATTGAAAACATATCTTACTATTTCCCTATCTAATAGTCAACTCTGAAGCTGTAGTGCTCTTGTGTGTTTTAAGTCAGTGGCTGTAATTCTTTCTTGTGCACCACCTACTGGGAGGTAGTGAGTAGGGAAGTGTGTAAATTCTCCTTCCTATTCATATTACTGCAAGAGTTGCTCTTCACAAGTTCCTGAATTAGGCCTATGTTTTAGCAGTT